TGTAGTGATGGGTTGTCAGACAACAGCTACATCTCAGAAACAGTCCAGACTTGACCCGACATTAGGGAGAGGTCAGTAGGGTAACTCTCACGGCTGACCAAGGGTTATAATCAGCCAGGCTCCCTCCCATGTCACACATTAAGGGGGCACCGGCCGGCTCTTCTCCCAATATACACAATGGCCTACACACCGCAGAAGAAGTCCAGACCTGACCTCACATTAGCGAGGGCAACCCATATCTCGCTCCCCCCGATCGGCTCAACCTGACGGCCTGCCTCCCAATATATAGGACGTCCTAGTCCCCTCTGGAGAGAGAGAGAGAGAGAGAGAGAGTGTGTCTGTAACGAGGAAGGGCCAGCTACTACACCACCAGGCCCGGCCGAGAGGGTAGAGAGGACCGAGGCAGTGCCTCCGGTCAGGACCGAGACTTCTCCGCGCCAGCTAAGCAGTCTCCCAAAGAGACAACCCAGGACCACCTGCTAGGGCCCCCTAGGTCATGTGAGTGTTTGTCAGAGCTTTCCATGGATGAGTTACTTACGGGAAGTGTATTCATTTCATGTTCGTGTCCGAGAATCAGAGTGTCTAGTAACGTAATATGATTTCCTAGTAACGTAAATATAATGTCCTAGTAACTTCAATAGAAGGTGTTATTAATGTGTCCATGTCATGTTCGTAATTAATAAAGAGTTGTAACGAAGCGGTGTTTGAGAAGTCGCCCTAACATAATAGATGTGTATTGACGATAAAATACGATATGTAAACAGGTAAATATCTATCACTTATAACGCCACCAAAATCTTCCTCTCTTTATACTCTATACCATCAATATTCTACCTATAGTAATCTTCTTCCTGTGAGATTCGCTCATTACATAACCATTTCCATCTGAAATGGTCCAAATCATGTTGACCGTCAGCCCGTTGTATCAACAAGGTCTCAGACAAAAAATTAATTAAATACACAGATATAGATTATATATGAAATATATATAAGGGAGCCGCCGATGTCAGTGATTGTGTGTGCGGGGCGGGCGATAGTCTGGCCATGAGGTCCTCGAGCTGTGAGGGGGTGTGGAGACGAGAGGGAGCGCTTCAGTTACACCCGAGGCATTACGAAGCGGATGTGAAAAACGTTACTCACTAATGCCCAGAACATGCCGTACCTTGGGAATCCTTTTTAGAACAAGGTCACACATGTATGGCACAAACACACAATGCACTAAACAATGCACAGAAAATCACTGTCACTGACACTGCTCAAAGTTGCTAAATTCTGGAGGAGCGGCGGCGGGCGGCGTTGGTTGACACAGGGAAGGAGTCCATAAGCCGGCTTTCCCACAAGTTTGCACTGTCACTGTGAATTATCCAGTAAAACCCGGGGTTCACTGCGCCCATGTTCGTGTTCTGTGTGGGTATTGCTCAATATACAGGAGCGAACACAAACACCTGTATAATTTTAGGTCTGATTTACTGATAAGAGATATGTACACAAGGAGTAGCGCCTTTAACCTGTCTGATGGTCAACTGCCTCTATAGGCGACGATGGCAAGTGACACACTAACAGCCTATATGTCGCCAGGCACATTAATTACATGATATGGTAATTACATTGCCACACGCTGCTAGCTAGGGCTGAATAAATAATATATATGGAGTACATACATACATACATACATAATATATACACAGCATACATAATATACAGGCAGGACACCTGGGTGAAGGAGGAAGAGGCATACATAATATATAATACAGCATACATAATATACATTCACAATTATGGCCTTCCGGTGGCACTCAGAAGTGAACACTGCCCACAACACTCTTATCATGGCAGATGTTCACTGCTCGCTCATTGTCTGTAAATATCAAAGTATTAACTCGAGTTGTCAACAGTTGCTATGGTACCAGTATAGGAAGGCACCCAAAAATATTACCTTGGTATACAACAAACACTTTCCTGAGATTTCACAAAAAGAATAATAAAAAAAAAATAAGTAAGGTAGCTGACCTTTGTTTTTCAGACACTTCAATATTCTGAACATTCCAAGTACTGTACACTTTACTTTAAAAAGATTTCTAATTTCCTTGAAGCAATTGTTCTAACCTAACTTCAAGGAAAGTATTTACCTTGAAATGTTACTTCAATTTCTCTGCAAAACCACATTTTTTTTTTGCACATTTCCTTGATTCTGTTTCCACGCAACAAAATCAGAACCCAATGAAATAATTAAGTCTCTACTTAATTAGCACAGAGTTACAAACTATACTGTAAACTGGAAAAAATACGGAACAAAATCTTCATTAGTTACAGTGAAATGGTTATTAGGTAAATGTACAGAGAAATGGTTATTACAAATCACCCTTAAAAAAAATAACCACATCATCACATTCATTCGTCCTGACCTGATACCATGTAAATTACAATCCCACCCCTGCCACCATTATAAGGGCGGCGGATTCTACCACTGAACCACCGAGCCCACCATTTAGGGCGGGGATTTTCTTCCCCCCTTATATTCTGATTTCAACTTCTTTCTATGTCTTATTTCCTTCATTTGTTCTGTCTAATTATTTCAGTTCATAGCTCCTTCATAACCTCAGTTCTTTTAGTAACATGGCGAGGGTAGGCACATGGGTACTGTAATTCTGGTATCAAGGTCACTTGGACAAAATAAAGGTGCATACTGGGAAAAAAGAAAGACCCCTAATATTCTCGAAGAAATGGTTTGTAAATATGAAATCAAAGAAGGGAAAAAGATGTCATTAACATACAACTATAAGGTTCAACTCCTGGGCTTTACTCAACTGTACTCTTACTTCTCACAACCTTAGTGGTTTTACATAACATTACATACAGCTACAGGGATCAACTCCTTGGCTTTTCTTAACTGCCATTCCAAGTGGATACTCTTACTTCTTACAACATTACTGGTGGTACATGACATTACATACAGCTACAAGACAAACTTACAAATGATAGTTCACTATAACTGTTGGTAGTGCATATGCAAGATACACTCACAACACTACACGTAGTACTGATACCAATAATTTACCTGGGTTCACTGCCCAACATGGGATAATTATATTCCAGATAATTATCCCCAATCATATACAACAAACACAATGGACCATATAACTTCCAGGAGTGTCCCCGGGTAGGACACTCAACAACTGACGACCGCTGTTATGATCGGTGGTAGTCTAACAAGTGGCGAGAGTCTGGGGTCCAGCCCCACGATGCATGGAGCAGATTAATCCTGCCGAATCGGCGACATCGTCCACTACAGCTAACTGTTAGGTAGCCACTTACCCCGGGCAGCCGGTGGGGTGTTCAAATAACCCACACACTGGATCCGAG